TTTGTGTGTGTGTGTGTGTGTGTGTGTGTGCGGGCGTGCGTGCATGCGTGTGTGTGTACTTGTTGAGATTGAACCCTATCTCTGTAAATTCCTATTGTAAAAGTTTGGACTGGGTTTCAGGAAGCATATGTACACTGATATTTCATTGCAAAAAAACAAAAACAAAAAACAAGTCACAGATGGTAGACAACCTTCCATAACATTACAAATGGTAGATGACCTTCCATATTCTAAATCCAGAATATGGTTCTTAATCAGAAAATGATGTGCACATAACCATGGTCACTGATAAGTGCATAAGTAATTGATTAAAGTTTAAAGATAAAGATATTCTTACTGCTGATAGTGATTTCAGAATAAAAAAAAAAATTAATGTACAAATGTTTCTTTGTGAATTTACATCCATATCCACATTAAATTAAACATTGCATTAACAGAATTGGTCATTCTCCATAAACTAGTTTGTTCTGCAGCTTCATTCTATAAGTTTTGGCCATATTCAACATATTGTAGGCTATGTTGTACATATATAACATCCCAAAACCAAAAGCTGTATATAAAGCTGCCTTGATAATCTTATTGTTTCTTAGCTGATAACTTTTTGTTTCCTTGTATAATATTTTAAATTCTACTGTTTAACAAAGTATTATACCACTAAATAAAAAAATGATTGATTTATGTATTAAAGAATAAACAATAGTTCACCTCCAGAGCCAGAGGTAAGCCAACTTGATGTATTTTAGTGTTCAAGTTGACTGTTCTCATGAATAGTTATTTTAACGCATGCGCACAAACAGGTTTTAGGATATACGTGAACAGTTCCGTGTATGAACGCATTAATAGAAACTATACCAAATATGTTAAGAGCCATCGCTCACGACAAATAAGCATAAGAGAGAGATACACTTTCTATTACTGTGCCCAAATCTGCCGCTGTGTTTTAGTTATTCTAAGCGGTATTTGACCTCATTGTTTATATCAGGTTTTAGGCTACTTAAGGTAAACCATTGCTTACAAAGAGTTCATGCCAACGAATATTCAAATATAACACACTCGGATTTAGACCAAAACAGTAGAGAAGACTTACTGTGTAAATGCTCTTCAAATGGACAAGGAGAAGGAAATACAACCGAACGAAGCATGAAGGACAGGCTTTGTGTAAAGCTGAGCTGCTTTCACTTTCGATATGACTGTTTTAGCCACACCTATACATAAATTATGGGTTTACATACAATCTTTATTAGCCTACTCCTTTTCAATTCGTTTTTAATAAAATACTGGCGCCATTTACCCCAAAACACAAAATATATTTATAAAGTAGCTATATATACAATAAAACCGAATAACAAGTATAATGTTGATGGCAAGTTACATGCGGCTGTCAATGTGTATTTATTTGTGTTCAAAAAATAAGGAGACTTGCGTTAGTATTTTTATTATTATTTGTTTTAATGAACTCTAATAACTTGGCAATATCGCATAGGCTACTGTTCCTCTTCAGGAACTCGAGCTGCGTCGGAAAACGCTAGGGGAACGCCTTCTGTGACCACGCTCTGAATCACATGTGAAATGTTGTGAGAAAAAGTCTAATAAGCAGCTTTAGGGCCTTTCGCACCGTGGGAACCTTTTCATAGTACCAGAACTAATTGTGGAACTACCCACTTTTTGGCGTTTTCGCACCGCCGGAACTGGGTGCGATTTTAGTACCGGACTGCCTTTTTCGAGAACCAAATTAGCTCCTACTCCGGAGCAGGGTCTAACCAGCACAACTGGTCCGTTCTGCGGCTACTTCCTCCCGGGGTGACGGCTCGACGCTTCTCCTGTCTTCCTCCGAGGAGGTTGACGTGGAGGACGTAGAAGAGGTTTCGCCCCCTCAATCGCCACAATATGAGGAGCTAGTGGAGGTGCCTACTCGTGCCGTGGCCAAGTTAAAAATTGATTGGCCCGCCGAGAAGCAGGCCGAGCCGCAGCAAAGCAAGCTGGATGAACGCTTCCTGCGCGCGAAGCCGCCACCTCCATGCCGGAGCCTGCCATTTTTCCCCGACCTTCACACCGAGGTGTCGAGGTCGTGGGCCAGGCCTTTTTCGGCCGCCTATTCATCCCTGCCTCAGATTATTATGGAAATGTGGCAGGGCTAACTGAGCGTGGCTATAAGGCGATGCCCCGGGTTGAACAGACGCTAGCTAGCTATCTGTCCCCAGGCATGGCATCATATTTAAAGGCTCCGGCACTGACCTCCAAGCCGCTGCGTACAACATCAGCGCTGGTGGGCAAGGGGTACGCGGCAGCGGGTCAGGCCGGTGCGTGTCTGCACACGATGTCTGTGTTACAGGCGTACCAGGCCGACCTGCATAAAGAGCTGGATGAGGGCGACGAGCTTAGTTCTGATAATATCGCAGAGTTAAGGAGAACCGCTGATCTCTCTCTCCGTGCCACCAAAGAGACCGCCCGCGCCATTGGGCGGTCCATGGCAGCTATGGTGGCAGCAGAGAGGCATTTGTGTCCGCATGAGATAGACTCCGGGTTGTACAGCCGTTACTTCATTGTTCCGAAGAAGGATGGGGGGTTGCGTCCCATTTTAGATCTGCGCCTATTGAACCGCTCAGTAATGCAACTGAAGTTCAGAATGCTCACACTCAAACAAGTCGTGTCTCAGATCATGTCCGAGGACTGGTTTGTCACGATAGATCTGAAAGACACATATTTCCATATCTCCATCCTTCCTCATCACAGGAAGTTCCCGAGGTTCGTTTTTGGGGGCAAAGCGTACCAATATCGTGTTCTTCCTTTCGTTCTCTACAGGGTTAACCCACTCCACCCTGAAGGTCTACTTGGCGGCCATTGCGGCCTACCACGCCCCTCTCAGTGGCATCTCAGTGGGAAGACACCCCCTGGTTGCACGTTTCCTCCGCGGTGCGTTGAGGCTGAGGCCTCTCGTACGATCACGTGTCCCCACGTGGGACCTAGCAGTGGTGCTAGAAGCTCTCTGTAAGCCTCCATTCGAACCTATCGAAGAGATTTCTGATCGCC